TTCAGCTGCATGTCCGGTGGTGGAGGAGGTGGTGAGGATCATGTGGAGGACCTCTTTGTCAGACGATTGAGGAATTATCTAACAAATGCATTTCAATACTCAGGCCACAGAAAAACCTCCACACAGCAACATGTCCAGGATCTGATGTGATCGATTATAAATGTCGATGCTGTTCTTTACATCTGGAGTTTTGTCTTTTCTGCAGTTTTTCCAGCTGAGCTCGGACCCCGTGAGCAGCCCGGTGTACTGCCTGAGGTTCAACAGCTCCCACCTGTATGCAGCCTTGGCCACTGCTGTGCATTCGCTGGACTTCAGACAGAATGGCGCCCAGATTAGATGATACACACAGACACTGCTTTTAGTCTCATCATTTCCATAAATATAAGATCTATTTTCTAAGTGACTGTTACAAATGTGTAATAAAATAAGATCAAATGAAAGAGCACATGACTCTGTTCTTTGGACACTGGTGTCAAACTGGTCAGTTAGACAAAGTGCTGTGCTGCAGGTGAGTGGTGTAGAGGGTGGTGAGGATTACTCACCATGAACAAGTGACTTCAGTGTTCACTTCCTCCAGGTTTCTGGTTTGCAGCCAATCACAGAGCCAGTGTCCCTAATCATGTATTCAGCCTGTTGGTGTCACCACGTAACAAAGGATGTAATCAGGAGGTGGAGCAGGTCACCTAGTTTCATGTTTTATTGTCATGTACAGATAAACAGTGCAGCCACATTCATCCATAATGAAACTCTTTAGCTCCTCAGCTTTACATGAGCATATAGAGAGTGTGCAGTTATATTGAGAGGAAAATAACAGGATTTATCAGTACAATAACAATAATAATAATAATAATAATAATAATAAAAAGGAGAGAAATAAAGTATTAAATATTAGAGAATTGAAGACGAGTTGGTATTTACAAGTTTGTGCAACGAGCATTTAAGTGGCATTTGTTGAAGTGACAGTGTGCAGTCCTGTAACTGTAGTGAGTGTAGCGGTGTGTGTGGGATGTCAGCAGTTCAAAGGTCTGATGGCTTGTGGGTAAAAACTGTCCCTGTGTCTGGTAGTGCAGGTCTGGATGCTCCTGAACCACCTGCCAGACGGCAGGAGTGAGAAAAGTGTGTGTCTGGGATCAGAGAGGATCTGCTGCGTCTTCCTCATGCAGCGCTGTCTGCAGAGATCAGAGTCTCAGAGAGTCTGCTCATCCCTTTTGTCCTCACACGGGCACTGTAGCAACATTATTGCATTGACAAAATCTGTTGAAAGAAAGTTCCTGCCATGATCTTAACCCTAAGCAGACACAATAATAAACACATGTGCCTCTCCCTCAGTCACATGTACGGTGGTGCCAGGTCGCACTGAGCTCAGGTTTGGCAAACCTACAGTGCTCGTTGAAGTACACACATGTGAGCAGCTGGACTTTGTGTTTATGTCATCAGTCCTGGACTGGCTTCTGACTCACAGGTGGAATTACAAATCCACAGTTGTTCACAAAATAAATGTATTAAATATTATTTAAAACATTGAACAGTTTACTATATACATTGATTACGAGTAATTTAGAATATTTTTTTAGCAGCTACTTAATCTCTCATTATTTTTTAATAAATGGTTCATGACATTTAAGGTCCATAGATTAGATTTATAACTATTTCAAAATTTAAGAAAGTTGGTTATTGTTACCTTTAGCCCTCATTTTCACTATAATACATATCAGTGCTCAGATTACAATTCAATTCAATTCAGTTTTATTTATATTGTCCCAAATCACAACAACAGTCGCCTCAAGGCGCTTCATATTGTACTGTACAATAATACAAAGAAACCAG